CATAACATATTTTTAATCTATGTTAAAGCATAACTATTTTTACATAATGAAATTTAGTAAATCAAATTATTATTTGTGGCTTTTATTCATTAAATCAATTAAGAACATAATATCAACACAAAATTTAATGACAAGAAAGATCGACGTCTCGGGTCCATCATGGAACCATTCTCAAGATCAAGTAAATTGAAAAAAACTAAAAACAAAAATGCCAAGGAGTGACAGGAAGTAAGTAATTAATTTACATATCAATAGGGCCTACTGTGTGGAGCCACAATGGAGCTAAGCAATAATTAGCCCTTCTTAGCAGATTAACTAGATAAACAGTTTGGCTTTGACTGAATCAGTTTGTTTGTTAAGTGTAGGTTTCAGTTCTTTGATCCAAAGCATTTCTTTAAATAAACAATTAAACTTGGATTTGCACTTAGATAAAACCTTGAAATAATTAACAGTTTCAGCAGCACTAATATAATGATCTTTTAAATGTTGTCCTATGTTACCTTTACTGTGCATAATCATTTCTTATTTAAAATAGAATTATTTAATCAATCAGTAACTTGTGTTTTTTTTAATGAAATTAATGATTTTCTTTAAAAAGATGCTACCCAAGGCGAGACTTTTTTTTATACCTTGTTTGACAAACTCGCTGACTATTGTACATTTTACTGTACAGTTTTTCCGTTTTAAAATGTTTGTGCTCATTAGCAATTTAGATTTGTTGTTGATGTTATCCATGACAGTAATACGTACCGCGAAATGCCAGGCCTCTCAAAGTCCCCATCGTTGGTATTCGCCACGTTATTGGAAATTTTTATTTCAAATTTCGCGAAAATGGTTTATAACATTCCCTGCAAGTTCGTCGTTCAAAACTGGTGCCGAATCAATGTTTTAGAGCCTCCCATCAGAGCCATTATTAATAATAATAATAATATTAATAATTTGCCGCAAATATAGTAATAATATCTAATAATATTAATAACTTAAAAAAAATACTTAGACCTACTCCCAGAGCTACTCATAGGAGCTAAAAACTAATTTATTTTAGTTCTCAAATATGCATATTCTTTATGTTGATTTATTAATTAAATTTTTGCTACAAGGTATTTTACATTTGTTTATTTATTTTTTTTTCTTTAATTTTATAATTGAGGGCCATTTTTTATTTCTTGATTCAATTCTTGCTTATGCAGTATTTAAATATTTGAAGATTAAAAAAAATATATATAATTTCTATTACCGAATTTTTCATTGGGGCCATTTTTACCTACCTGTCATATGGGGCCATTTTTACCGGGGCCATTTTTTCTGGGACCATTTTTTCCAGGGCCATTTTTTCTGGGGCCATTTTTTCCGGGGCCATTCTTACCTACATTCCATATAGAAAGCATTTGAAAAGTGCTAAAACGATTTCGACAACATGGTATCAAAGTGAAACCAGCAAAATGTCACCTATTTCAGAAGGAGATACGTTATTTAGGGAAGATTGTATCGGCACAAGGATATCGACCAGATACCAAAGACGTCGTAGCGATGACTTCCTTAAAAGAGAAAACTCATAAAACAGTTGGTGATATCAGGAAAGTGCTTGGGCTTGTTGGTTATTATCATAAATTTGCATAAAAAATTAATTCAAAATTAAATGAAAAAAATTAATATAAAAATTAAAATTAAATTACAATTAAAGATGTAAATGAATAAGCAAGACTAAAAAACAATAGGCAAAAGACACTAAAACAGAAAAGAAAATAATCAAATAAAGTAAAAAATAGGTAATAAGCCAATGCATATGAGAACTATATATAAAATAATTCTTGATTTAAAGAAAATAAATCAATTAACGTTGTTAATGCAAAGAAATATAGATTTAAGTGCTATATAAAACTTCCTCTTCATAAAGGAGGATAACCGAGTAATTATGAGTAATGCTATAATTATAATTAACTAAGGTATGTAGGTTGTCAACGTTTATTTAGTATAAGAAATGTTTTAAAGTTACACACGCTTATAATAAAATGCAGTACTACGGTACTGCATAACTACATACGAAAGTCTAGGAAATGTAGAATACGGAAGGTGTTCCAGTTAGTAGAAAAAATGGCTACTGGAGGCTGCCGTAATGAGTTTAGCAGCCTCGCATTCCGATAAAATTCATAGTTTCCATGGAAACCCCATCAAGCATGCTTGGTAGATCGGTAGTGTAGAAAAGTACGGTTTGGTGTACAATGCAACCTTGAAGTAATTGAGAGATTAAACGTTCAATAGATTTAGCACACTAGAATGAAGAAATTAAGAATTCATACTATAAAAGTGTGACGAATCATCTTAAACCCCTGTTATGATTTATTTATCCTTTGTTATATTATTATTATCATATTCTGGTTCAAGTATTGTACCTGTACTGATTGTCGTAATTTAGGCTTAATGAATAATATATTTACGATCACATTATTAATTAGTATAGATTTATGATGTTATTTTGCTACAGTATTAGAAGATCATTAAAGACTTGCCACTTGAATAACATCTACGTATATAAATCTCATTGTCATCATTACTGTGCAGGGGTGGATTTAGGGGCAGGGCCCGGCCCCCCCCCCCCCCCCCCCCCTTCGGGGGGTCGAAAAAAAGGAAAAAAAGAAAGAAAAAGAAAAAAAATGCCCACAACGCCTCAAATGTTATTTTCGGGCGTCTAGAACACAACAATTTCGCGGGGGCATTCTCCCGGACCCCCTATGACATTGTTGTGTCGATCGGCCCAAATTTCGGTCCCACCTTTTGGACATCTCTGGATCCGCCCCTGCTGTGTACTGTTTTTCAGATTGCTCGACTGACACTTTTAAACATCCCATTCTTTAAGCTGGGTAACAACCATTCTTTTAAATGTCTTATTATTACTGGGATATTTTGAGCTCCTATTTGTGTCTATTAAAATATCATAAAAAAAACAATTTTACGAATCTACAAAATATTCGACGAGAATGGTCACGCTACAAAAGCAACACATGTGAGAATTTCATAATATTCAAATTACGTTAGTTCAGTAGCAAAAGGAGCAGCAGAGTATAGGTTGGTGGAACGTACCACTTCAGTATTTGCGGCTGATACAAACACGTATATGTTCACTAAATAATGGATTAAAAATATTTTAAACTCCTGACCATGTTATTCACTAAAGTAAGTCAATACGACACGAATAAGGAATGTCTACATCCATTAAATTTTTACAATACATTTTTTACAATATTCTTTACCAGTATGCCTATCTAACCAGTGCTTTAACATTATAAACAAAATTATTATTGGCTCATGTTTTCATTTATTTAAAAGGTAATTTGACTTTCATTTGCAAAGGTCTTTCTAAATATAGTTCGACAGGGCTTCATAGAATGATTGTTTAAATAACAATAATGTTACACTTATATAGCGCGTAATGACAAAAGCTTCTATTCGCTTCACATAAAACAAAAAAGTGTTTAAAAAATGAAGAAAAACATAAAACTGGCTCAACAAAAATGCAAAATCTTCAAGGGGTCATAATCTGACTCCACTCTAGCGTAATCCCAGACCCCTACCTAGGTGATACACCTGGGTGGATTCATAGACGGTGATGGTCGTCCCCCAACCCACCACCCTTAACATGTTAAAGCGCTTTTAACTTTTAGCTGGCAAAAAAGTGTGCAGATGTTAAATAAATAGTAAGCAGCTTTTGTCTTTAGGAGTGGGTGGGGGTCATTTATGAGAACGATTTTAAGTCTCTCGAAAGATGGGAGGGTGACAAGACAGAAGACGGTTCCCCAATTTATTTAAAATTACGTTATTTATACTCCCTCCCCCTTTTTGAAAAATTGATCGCCCAAAAACGCCTTAGAGGTTTCTTTTTCGGGCGTCTAGAAAACAAAAAAGGAGGTGTTATCTGGATCGGCCCCACTAATTTCGGCCTCCTTTCGCCCACCACAACCCCCCCACCCACCTTCGGAAATTTGTTAATCCGGCCCTGTAGAGTGCTTTTAGCTGGCAAAAATTGTAAATAGTCAGCAGCTTTTTTGTTCTTTAGGGTTGGGGATGGTCATTCATGAGAATAATGTTCAGGCTAAAATTATTGTTGGGTTTTAAATCGCTCTAACGATGGGAGGGTGACAAGACAAAAGCCGGTTCCTCAAGTGATTTAGAGTCAGACTCCAGAGGAAAAAAATGTTGATATGTTGTAGAACTGATTTTTCTAAGACAGAAAAAATGGGTAAAGGTGAATGATATACAGATTTTTGAATATTAAAAAAAATTGGGGAAAATATGTAAATGGGCGGTCTTAGAAAGATCAGTTCCACAACATATTAACATTTTCCCCCCAGAGCCTGACTTCAAATTTATTTCATTCATTCTTTCATTAAAACTTATTTCGTTCATCCTGCAAATAATCTGGACCCATTACCACACAGCCTCGCGAAAGGCCGCCGAAGGCGGCCTTTTCGCGAGTATACAATAAATAGGTTATCTGTTTGTAATGGTTACCCTGCATGCTCTTAGTATAGGCCAAATATTGTTCACTTTTAGTACATGTACGTACCCGGGACCGATTGTTTCCTTACTCCCATTATGAGCGCATGTTTTTCCAAACCCAGCTTACATTGATTTACTCGATTTCATGTATATTGCCTACAATGTTTTTTTTTGTTTTTTTTCCAAAGTATTACTACAGTATTTCAAAGTTACGTATGTGCAGTTCTCTTAATGTAAATACGTCGATGTGTAGGCCTATGTTGATTACTGTTTCATATTTACAACTCATACAGCAATCAAGTAGGCCTATGATTAAGTTTTAAACGACCTTCAGGTTACTATTATTACCGATGGTATTATCCATTGAACATTTTAAAAGAATACAGTATAATGCACTATCTTACAATATAATACAATCAATCAATCAATCAATCAAAATATTTATATAGCGCCAATATCCAAAAATGTTCAGTACAACAACATAAATAACAAGGTCTAAAATATTATTCTGAAAGGATATTTGGAATTGGCTTAGCTGCTCCGATTTTCAAAAATGATTCGCTCTCAGCCTCAATGGCCAACACGGCAGATGTATGCTTTTGAGACTGCACGTGTTCACAGGCACTGCATTTCATGAATGTCTTATCTGAGTGAAAAACCAAATTAATAAAAGGTTTATTGTGTTTATTCAACATTGATTTTAATAACACAGTACTATATTGCTAATGTTAATTTATATAATAACTTTCCTATTATATTGTATTATATTATATTATATATTATATATCAGTCGTTGAAACAAATAATTATGACAAGGCATGCATATATATATATATATATATATATTTATTTATTGTGTTAAATTATATATAAATTATCAAATAAATGTAAATACAGTATTTGAATAAAGGACATGATAGTACATTGTGTAGCATAGCTCTCAACGAATGCAGTCCTATAAATAAATTGTGTAATAAAATACCTCTGACGGGATTGTTAACGTCATTATGAATGAATGAATAGTAGTAGTAGTAGTAGCAGCAGTGGTGGTGGTTGATAGTAAAGCAGAGTTTATAGCAGTAGTAGTACTTACAATTTTTTCTTAGCACCTGACATTCACATTTTTCACATAGGATACTTTGCATTTTTGCATCAAGTTCTTTATTCTCACAACGAGTGCAATTACAAGTAAAACAATATTTCTCTCTTAGAATATGGCGTCGCTTGAAAGTAGGCTCCAAAATGTCTGTGTATGCTACAGTAATCTGATAATAAAATAATATATTAGAATTGTAACGGTAGGGCCAATATTTTGGTTATTTAGTTACCAGCATCCAGTCTTCCTCTGGATTAATGATAATAGTTACCAGTGTTTTAACCATTTTCAGGTGGTCACAAAACTACACATTCTTGTTCAAAAAGATGTTATTTTTTTTTAAATACTACCTGTAAGCAAAATTTGTTTATATAACTTTTTTAATATTCCTTTTAATATTCAGAAAAAGGCTTGAAGTACAAAATTAGAATTCTGTTTTTTTTTTTTGTTCAACCCAAATAACTAGTTAACCTCTTAAGTCTCGTCATATTGACTGGAATGTTTATAATGCTAACAATCGCAGATCTCTACTATCAGTATTTCTTTGTGTAAATATAAATGTCACTTTTACCCGTGGGGCGAGGGTATTGCATTGAGCTCCGTCTGTCTGTCGGTCGGTCGGTCGGTCGGTCGAGGTGTCTGTCTGTCTGTGACGTTTGTGTTTGCATAACTGAAAAAACTACTGGACCGTTTAACGTCAAAATTTCACACATTGACAATATTAAATTTCGGTCCTCTCCGATTTTGGTGCTCATCAGATGTAGGATGTAGATTTTAGAACGTTATTTAATTATATAGTTTTGTCGCAACTGACAGAGCTTACTCGTGCGGATCGTTCGACTGAATCATTTGGCTATGCCAGGCTGACTCGAGCGAATTGACCGGTACCGACTCGAGCGTACAGCACATGTAACAAAAATAACAAAATAATAATAATTAAAAAAATAAAAAACAAGAGTGAAATTTGAACCCCAAAGTTCGACTATCATAACACACAAAACATCGCCACTTAAGCTTGACAATAAGGAACCTTTCAGAATGACATCAACAAAGTTAGCTGTTGGATCTCTCAAAACAATTTAAAACTAAATACTGTACGAAGAAAACGAAGTTTAAAATTAACGAAGCTGATAAGATCGAGGAATTTAAAAATTATAAATATCTTGGAATCAATATTATATTATTTGTAAAAAATCAACAACTTGTTTGATATATTTAATTGCAGTTTTACAACGAGTGCCGCTGTAAGACACTCTTAAAACTTTATACTACCTTGGTTCGACCTAGATTAGCATATGCTTGTCAAGTATTTGACCCTGCATACTGTATATTAAACATCAGTTCAAAGGTTTGCTCTAAAAAAATTGAAATATCGTATCCAGATAGGTATAAGAAAATAAATATTATGACCCTTGAATTCAGACGTTTGGTACTCAAACTTATAACATTGTTCTTGTTCAGATTCGTAGATAATATCCATTATGTAATTCTTGGCATTTTAATTGAACCAGGGCGTCGTAGTAGACGAAATAATCACTCAAAGCCTCTCGTAGTTCCAAAATGCAGAACTCGTGCATACCAAGCCACATACGCCAAGTATGCACGCCATCGTGTTGGGATTCAATATTTCGACATTAATTATGTCATCATCAGGAATGATGTGCATACCTGTCATAATTTTTCCCATCTGATATAGCTAGTTGAATAGCCTTCCTAACAACATAATTCATTCTGATCACGCACAAAGTTTTAGAAAGAAAGTATCACATTTTTCATAAATTATATCCTGTTTCAAAATTTAAATGGTCTTTTCTCAAATGCTGTAATTTAATGTTTATCTGTAGGTTTTGATTGTATTATTTGGAAGGTCTTTACAATTAGCTAGCGCTTGGTCTCTCCTGGGCTATGGCAGTTGGTTGTATTTCTGTTTTTCTATCTCTTTTTGATTTCATGTATGTTCTTCAAGTACTGTTTGCCCGAACTATTATAAAATTAAAAAATAAAAAAATTTCGAGATAGTACAGTATACTCACTGTCCATGAATTTCAAAGAAACAAAATAAATTAAATTAATGCTTGGTTTACATAGTAGTTTAGGTAATTTAGCCAGTTAATACACTCCATGATGCAGAATGATGTTACAGTGATCTAAATTTACTGTTTTATAGTAGGCCTAAAAATTCCCAAAATTTACAGCATTCATTTTGGAAAAGCCGGAATCCCCTTCTTACTTTGCAGAAGTAGCCTCGGCTCGGCTTCTATTTGAGGTTTTACGGTATTCTGATCCCGATGTTTCCAAGCATACGTAAAAATTTACGTCTAAATTTTAGTCTTCTCAGACACTGCTTGATCCAATGAGTAGAGATAATTATGCAAAAACGCATTCAGTTTATTGCAATGCGTTGAGAAATTACAGACCTTAGTATTTTTTGATATAAAATATATAACATTAAACATAAATAGAATTTATTACGATATTAATAAGCAAATTTTTTACCTACCTCTTCTCCTTTCATTATAGTTCCTACTGCCCGTATAATTACAGTTTTGCCAAAATATACAGGAACCGAGTTGAAATCACAGCTATTGTTGATTAAAGATGCCCTAATCGAAAGCAAATACACATAAATTGGACTATTTGAATTTTGTGAAGAAATTATTATATACAATGGTAGTTTTTCCTACAGCAAACACTGATGAAATGAAAAAGTATGGTTTGCAAAAGGCAAAGTTCACCAAATACCTTACCAATACATATATATTTTTTGTATTAACATGGTATCTTGCAATATTAGTGGCTGAACCCGGAATTTGAAATAGAGTGGGCCCACGAAGTCAATCTTACATAATGGAGGATCTGGAATACCTGAAAGTAATTCATAATCAGGCAGATGCATAAGCGATGGAATATTGGCCTTGGTGCAGTACGAGGAAAAGAGGATCGGTTTGGCAAAGCGGTTGCGTTTCTGCTTTCCAACTTGCGGTCGGAGGTTCAGTCGCTCACTGTTGCTTGTGTCCTTGGGAAAAGCACTTAACCTTCGATTGCCTCACTGCACTCAGGATAACACAAAATGTGCTGACTACAGCTGCAAAACGTATGGACTTCTCCCCAGGTATAGCTGATTACAGTATGTGTTCAATACCAGTGACCAAAAGCGCTTACAAGCATTGTTGCCATGAAGCACTAAAAGCCCAAAATTGTTATTAGTAAGAATTTTATTCTCTGCGATTGAGAACAAGTATTTAGGGACACGCATCCTGCCTGATCGGCAGCCACTAAAGATTACGTTAGGGAGGGTGTGGTGTTGTATGATCGTATCCAGAGCTCCCGTACAACGGTCGAGCGGGTAACGCATGGGCACCGCAATTGACAGCTATAATATCGGAAAAGGACTATAAACCGTAGGGCCAGTGTACACAATTGGCACATGCGCACTTTAAAGAACAGGCAGACGAGTACCGGTTTACCGGGTAGTTTAAAATTTGAAATGACAGTTGGTGAGAAGGAAAGGAAGCTACTCTACTTTAACCAATGTTCATAACATACTTAAGATAGATTGCTGGTCCAAGCCAATCTATAAGCGGACCAGTGATGACTAGAGAATTAGTATATACTCGACTGGCAAGATGATTAAATTCCTTTTCTTCTATTTTCCTTCCAAGAAATGATTCCAATTCTTTATGCTCCTTTTTGCAACGTACTCTGTGTTTTTCTTCCCAGTGTTCATAGACTTGAAAATTAATAGAAAATAGGAATGTCATAAAAATTGTGTTAAAGATGCTCAATCTGCCAAAAAAGAATAAAGTCGGTGAAACCTAAAAAATGAACTAAAAATTATTAGAATAGCTCATTTAAAAGGATCACATAATTTACAAATTTACATGTTTTTCCGGATTTACAAACCTTTTACTAAAAAACCCCTTCAATTGATTAGTAGACATTAAGGGTCAGTTCAAAAGAATAGTATTATTTAACCCTCCCTTAAAGCCCCATTCCCGGCAAAACTTCACTAAAAAAGATTAGAAAAAATGCATATGCATTACTCTCTATAAACAATGGAAAAAATATTGGCATAAATTTTAGTTCTACGCAAAAGAATAAAAAAATGAGAAGTACAGACTATTTCTCATAGGAGATTACCATTTCCTCGACGAATTCTTCGTTACTAGGCAAATTTAGAGGTTGTAGATCGCATCCGCTGGAATTCTCTCGCTTTATGTATACTTTATACAGTCAATAAAGTGCGCCCTCTCTAATGTAATTGGTTTTTGCACCTCGCACCAGCGTGACCACTGCTTGGGTATTTACCCAAGATCTTGGATATTCTGACTTGGTCTTGGGTTCTTGGGTATTCCGTTCAAATCCTTGGGTATTTTATACTAAGAAAATTTAATATTTTTGTCATAGAGGAAGAATTAAGAAGTAACAAAGTATATTTTTAGTCCATTCAAGTAAGCAAAACTCAACGAAGTGCACATAACCTTGTTAATTGACTGTTAATTGCTATAAAAATGAGTTCAGAATTGTTTATTTGTGATTTGCGTTGCCATTGATCTTTCCTAATTAATGCATTACATAGTAAAACTTGATCACTGATAACACTGGCCGACTGAGGGCGTATTTTCACCTCATGAATATCAATTTTAATAATTAGCACAAACAATTACAATAAAAAATGGTTTATCAATTGAACTAAAAGTGAAATACATGCGCAAAACATGTATTTTTCAAATTTTAATGCATTTTCAGGGAGCTTGGGTAATTTTGGGCAATTTTTGCTGAAGCTTGGATAATTTCGACCCAGCCATTGGGTATATCAAAAATTGTGAGTGGTCACGCTGTCTCGCACATTGCGATCGATCGAGTAGGCCTGAGACTAGATATGTTTGTTTAATTGTCAAAATCTCGGTCAGAATCATTTTAAAAAAAATTTGAAATAGTTCCTATGAAATATTATATTTCACATTCAATTAGCAACGGAAAATATCATGTCGGCCGTTTTTATGTGTGATAACAGAACCTAAATCGAGGTAAGGCTTGGCCTAGCATAGTAGTGTTGGATAGGCTAATGTTTTCGGCGCCTACTATGTTTCTTCACAGACCTATCGCAAAAATCAAACATGAAAAATCCACCCGCATTTATTTTTTGTGTGGAACACAAAAATATCTAATTTCAGTCTTATTTTAGGAAAGTATAATACATACTCCAAGTATTGAATAAAATATTTCGACATTAATTATGTCATCATCATTCCTGATGATGACATAATTAATGTCGAAATATTGAATCCCAACACGATGGCGTGTATTTCAATACTTGGAGTATGTATTATACTTTCTTATCTGAGATTAATCAGTGGACCTTTCGGTTTCAGTCTTATTTTACATTTTGTTTTCATGGAATATCTAAATTTAGTTAAATTAGCAATTTCGTATTACATTTATAAATCTTTATAACATATATAAAACTAAATTTTTCTTAACAACTGAAATACTGCCGGGAATGGAGCTTTAATGAAAGGGAAATTTTTTTTCTCATTATTTATTTTTTAATTAATAGCCTCTTATTTTTATTAACGAGACAGGGAGTACATATAATAAATGTTTTATGGTGGACCACATCCTCTAACATACGTCGACGCCACCGCGGTTGTAAGTTAAAATCGTGTTCTACACCATAGAGAATATGAATGATGTACTTAGGAAAAATGATAGTACGGATAGTCAATAATAAACAGGTGTTTTTATTCTACAAGTATAACAACGAATCATTTCTACAATAGCTAAAACCACAGCCTAGCCTTCTATAATTTAAAACTAAGTAATCGCCGAGTGATTACTTAATTTTAAATTATAGAAAGCTTAAGCTGCCTGGTGATTCTCTAATTATATATCCATAAACCAAATTTCTTGTTTTTAGTTAAGACTTTAATGACTAATGCTAACTGTTGAATTCATATAGAAATGGATGATCAATAGGTGACAAACAAAACGACAGATACGAATGTAAAATAATTAGGCTAAAATATAATATATTATAAAAAAATTAAGGAAAAATATTCCTTACGGCTTTCCAGGTCATTGATGCTTTGGGGGAATCCATCAGTCCTTGCACGCCGCCTAACTTCCTTCTAAATATGAGAATGATTTAAAGAATTGCATGACTGAGATTTTCATTTTAGATTAGTTTATATATCAATTTCAGTTTCGGTTTAATTATTTTCCATAGTAGTGTTATAATTTTAAACAACAAAATACAGAAATATGCAATGGATGACCAAAATTTTAAAAAAGGGAGCAAAACTCGTACAATGTTTGGCTACCTAAAATAAATAAGGCAATTTAAACATTTTAAAAACATAATCTAAAGTACAAGACGAGGCGTAAGACACGTTGGCAATAGTATAACAATATAATAATAGTATAAAAGTACTTTATATAATGTAGGAGTTTATTCGCATCAGAGTTCTTATTGGTATGTTGAAAGTAATTTATTTTTTTATATAGTATTTGGAACATTTTGACAGATGAAGAATTACGAATAGCGGCATCAATATCATTCCATAAGATCATAAGTTATCAGCAATAATTTGTGAATCAGAAATATACATGTCATCTTATTTTAAAAAGACGTTGGGATTTGTTTTGGCCTGTTTTGTCGTCCTAGGATACTATAAAGAACATTCCTAGTTTGTTTTGAATTAATTTTTGTTTGGTCAAGCTTTTTCGTATAATACTGACGTTAATTCTGATTGAAGCAGTAAGTATATTTCAATATTTATCATAATTAGCTTTGGTTGATTCACTAGGATTAGCCACAAACTTTTTGTGCAACTTTTCTTTCCGATTAATTATATTTTAGGATCAACCAATAGTAAAACTTCATGAACCAGTACTCTAAGTAACCCATACGGAATGACCCATTAATGTATTACCCAATATATTAACATTAACACGGATTGTGAGGTATCACTGCTTAATGTTAAGATCAAAATGTCGTAAATGTTATATATTTTAAACATTATTTTATATTTATAGTACAAAGTCGAATGTGACATAATCTAATCTGGTTTACCTTCTCTATCTGGATTTTTCTAAGAAGCCTGGTAAATAACACAATCATTTCTGGTCGCATATTAAATTCCATTCTCACCAATTTTGGAAGATTTTTGCATTCTGCTTTGTGGGAATCCAATGCGGCTTTCTAAGACGAAGCGTATCAGTACACTTAATTAATTACATAATTCGAACTGAGCGTTTGGCTGAGAGGTAGTGTCCCTGCTTCTTGTGCTAAACCTCGATTCAAAGCCATCCAACGTCGGATTTTAATTGGAGGCGAGACAGGGGAAATATTGTTACTGACGCCGTATTATGGCCGCCGCGGGTCCCAAGTGGGCCAGTGGCCCAATCGCAATTTCAAATTCAAAATATGAACGACAAAAAGTGAAATTAAAAACAAATTTATCATGAAAACAAATTTATCAATTTAGATTATTTATAACAATATAACAATATATAGATTTATAATAATAAGTAATAATTAGAAAGCAATACCCATACTGAAGTGCTTTGATCAGATTCAGAGATCTAGAACAGCACGCAACAATCAACCAACTCAACGATTTAGTGCATATTTCCATTATTTATTTAAAAAAATCTACGTTTACTCGTCCGTTAAAAAGAGAGGTCTAGGCCTAAAATGATCGATTACATTTACCTGGCATAATACATCGCAGTATTTTTGAAGTCTACATGTAGAACAAAACAGGAGATTTTTTCTGCAAAAACAAAATCAGAATTTTGCAACTTGAGGTGCACCACTGTGGTGGTGGTTGGTAAGAAGGGGGAGGGAGAGGTGGTACATGTGATTGAAGGATATAAACCACCATACCTCAAATAACTTAACAGTTATTATCTAACATTGTTGGATTGCTAAGGGTCTTTTCATTTGTTCGAGTTAAGAAGAAAAAATAATTTCTCTTTGGCGTTCCATATAGATTGTATCAACTCATCAGGTCAAGGCAGCGAATAGGCGAGTATCGGGAAGTCCCTATTATATTGTTGTTTGTTATATTATATTGTTAGAATAGTATAGTCTCACGTTTTATAATATGCCTATAAATTTTAAATTTGAATTCAATGAGGTGGTCACCTGCTCTTTTTTGAATTGTTCTTCAGTTATATGCAGCGTAGGCCTACAATAAGGATACCTAATATACAATGGCAATGCATCCTATGTATGACGCTAGTAGGCATAGAGTAAAGAAAATAAATGATATTACAGTAATGTATTCCGTTTTAAACACTGTGTATACAAAAGTTAATAACAAGACTTACTTATCAGATAAACAATAATCGCATTTGTTCTCCAATTGTGACAAGCAGAATGAATATGGTTCCTCAGTGAATATAATGTCACCCGCCTTTAGATCCTTGGTGGCAACTAAACCTCTGCCTTTACCCTTGATCTGCTCAACTTTTATAGCCAATCTATCCATTAAAAATGCAGTTATGATGTATTTGATTTGGTAGTGGCGAATCAATTCTATTGCGCACGGAACGGTGGATCTTTTCAATTATGACGTGACGTTCTTGACTTGCGAGTAGATGAAAACCTACTGATGTTGGGGAATTTCCGGCAACTACCAGTCCTAAATGTTCATCGGTGGCAGCATACCGTAACATATGGAACTTAGTAGTGCAGCGTTATTATTAATATATTTCATCGTCCTTGCAAAATTTTAATTTTATTTCAAGGTTGGAGCAAATCTTATAATAATAGGTAAGTCTGCTGCCATAAAGTTCTTCCACTCTAGTGTTATGAGTTGTGCGTTGTTTAATGGAAATGTACAGTAGATAAATTCGTTAATGTGATATAGGATACATTTTCTGGGTAAGGGATATAAGCTGTACGAAACGAGCTCGGCCGGTGGGGAGTACTTGACTTGTCCGATGGTTGTTAATGAGGCTAGGGTAAAGTTGTTTCTTCAGCTGTGATAACAATTAATCTTTATGTCAGCTTGAACCCAGTATGAAATTGGAACGCAATAGTCATGAATTTTTACAGCGCCTTCCACAATAGAAACCGTGTCCACCAAGTTATCAACGTCTTATACTGTAAGACTATATCCAGAGGTGACGGAACTAGAGGGTTATGGAGAGTAATGTGTGACTGCAGTCAGTTGGTTGTTACCATGCGCCAGTGATGTTGGAGTATATAGTACAGCAATATTAAACTATTATGTAGGCCTAATGAATGAATAAATTTCGGAGTTTGTTGGGTAGTGAAATGATTATTTCACATTTTAAGTGCTCCCTAAATTCATAAGTGTAAGCTAAATTACGGTGATTAATTTAATTAGCGAAGATAATTATTTCGAATCCCTCTTTCCAAGAGGGGATGATACTTTGTGAAAATGAGTACGCCGCGGTACTCATTTTCACAAAGAAATACACACAACTGGTTAGCTAACAATTATGTCAATGTTACATGAACACCTGGGAAGGAAGGTGCAATCACGTTGTTACCTAGCAGACGTCTGTACTGTATGGGGAGGGGCTCCTGATGTACTGTGTACCGGGGGACGATGAGGCATAAGACTAGGCCTAGGCCTAACTAAGACAGTGGAATTATATGTGATAGAAAGTACACTTTCGGAATAAATAAACTAAAAAAAGAAAAAAATAATAACTAAGAATAATTCATTTGCAGAGGTACCTTATTTAAGTATTATACAATGCTAACAATGCGGCTCTTGTAGCCCTGGCTTGGGCAAGGCATCCATGTGCAAAGCAGTGGTGTTTGTTTATCCATGAAAAAAGCACGCCGGGAAAGTTTGCCTTACTAGGAAAAGGTGATGTATCTACCTTATGACGTATGCATGCTAACTAAAGTGAGTGTGACGTCACCAAAAAATGAATATTTTCTATCATAACCAAAATATTAATAACTACATGACTGACATTAGGCCTTGCGTTGGATAAATTACTCTAATGCAAAGCAGGCTTAAGTAAGATAATGAAGAGCAATGTACGTTAAACATAGGTAGTGTCAACTTGTGCGAGAGTTCATAAACAAAGGTCACACACAGTATGAACCTGTCTCTTATACACATCTAGATGTGTATAAGAGACAGATATATAATAAGCCTATACAACATTTAAAAGACAATGTGATACAAACATTATTAATAAATCCACGTAATATAGTACGGTAATGATAGGCCTATATTAATTACAATAAGTACAGTTCTCCCTCCAATTAAAGACCACCTCCAATTAAAGAAAATATTTCTGTGCCTCCGATATTTCGTCTAATTAGAGACAATGGTTTTGGTAGCTCCACTACTAAATAAACAGTGATCTTAATGCATTTTTGTTCTACTATAATTGTGTTATATATAACTTACACGTAGATGTATTAGCAAAGGAACTGTTTTGTGTATATTGTTTTGTATATTGAATGACGATAATGTTAGTGGCAATGTTAGTAATATTTTAATGGAAAGACAATTTGATGTCTGGCTACCAAGAAATGTTAAGAATAAATAAGAGCATGCAGTTACTGTACATGCAATTAAAACATTATTTAATTATTACATTATTTTTAAATTTCCATCTAAATAGAGAAATCTAAAGACCACATTTAGTACCCAAATTTCTAGTCTCCCGTTAAGTCTCGGAGTCTCCTGGAAACTGGCAGGAAGGACTCCCGCATTCAGACCCACGCGCACGAGCATGAAGCTCCCGAAATCCATCTCCCGCAAATTCATGATGATATTTGCATGCTTTAACAAGTTTTTATACTGTAATATCAATTGTCTGCGCAGCAGTTAGGACCAACCATAATGGTTATCACCATGCACAGCAAAATTTAGATGTCATAAAAAAAATCATTTAAACAGATCTCCCGGATGTGGATTCTTCCAAATTGGACCCGAGTTGAGTGCCTTTTAATTCTTAACTATAAGGATTATGTTAGACACCACTAGACCACTATGGTTTTGGAAGACCAAACTGAAAATTTCTACTAACTTAAAATGTATAAAATTGGTTTTATTTTTTTACGCACTACAGACATCAAAATATACATCAATAGCTGACGTTTTGTGTACAGTGCTCCGTATTGAATACCAATAGTTTTAGTAAGACATGAAATTGTATTTTGCGAATTAAATGGACCGCAAGACTACTTCGTGTGTGGCATGCAGTAATCTATTCTAAAACACTTGGATGAATAAATACAACCGTAATGCATAAGCATTTAAAATAAATATTTAATGATGATGATATACTTAAGATGATGTTTGGTCTATCAGTGCTCTATATTGAATGGACGGTGCTGTTAGAAATGGTTAGGTAGAACGAGCACAGGACTTGACTACCGGGGAATAGTTTTAGCATTAATAGTAATAATAATAATAACAGCTTACAGTAACTGTAGGCCCTACATCCATTCTAACTATCTTACATTTACTATATCATTTCTTAATTCCCCTTTACATAGAGATAGTTAAAGACTACTTTTAAAGCCGGTCTTTAATTATAGGGATTCAAAGTAGAGACCAAAGCTGCTAAAGGCCACTAAAACCCTGGTCCCAAAAAGGATTTTTAATTGGTGGTATGGAGAGGGTGACCTGTGATAGGATTGAGAAAAAGGGGTCCGGCCAAAGCCGGTGCGGCCGGTGCGGTTCCGACGGCCCTGTTGAAGAACGAAAAGAAGAGGTTCAAGCACATTTCCTTGCTGTACACCGTAGCGCATAGGAGTGTGTTTGGAAGCAATCTCAACGATATCAACTTTCTGAAAACGTGAAGAAATATAAGATGAAAACCAACAGAGAACAACATCAGCAAAGCCAAATTGGAAAGATAGCCTGTAAATAAGACCAGAAAGGTCAATAGTGTCAAAAGCATAAGACAAGTCTAATTGAACAAAAGCGACAGCCTTACCCAAATCAATAAAAGAATAAATGTCATTAAACATTTAAGGCAAATTCAGTGGAGTGGCAAGGTTTGTAAGCAGATTGATAAGATTCATGAAGATTATTTTGACTGAGGTAGTCAGAAACCTAAGAGGCCACCAATACATTTTGAAACAAAACATTAAATTAAAATGGACCGTATTCTTGCAAAATTGTTTATATTCATTTTTATTTAATTTTATTCAAAACAATATCGTAATCACAGCAAAATCTGAATGAACGCAATATTAACATTAAAATCATCGCAAACACATATAATAAGGCGAAAAGCAATTATATGCAGAATGCCAATTCAAAAAGCAGAAAAACGACAAGCCGGAATGAACAAACAATACATTTTTCATTAAACAATATGACCAAGAACGGAATTGGGCTTTCCGTACGGACCTTAGGCATAGATAGTTAATTGCCATTTCTGGGGGAGGTACCACTTCGATCTTAATTTCGGTAACCAGCTACGGAATTCGTAAGACATCATTACTGATTTCGCAAAATTGTAACAAATTTCACGTCTTTTCTTTAATTCATTCAATGTATTGAATTTAATTTATATACAAATAATAATCCTGGAACTTGCACACTTACGAATGTCACGGAACGTAGGCGTCCCATTTAACGTCTTTCGTAATTTTGAAAACAAGAATCTTGAGCATGTTTACGCATTGCAGATCTTGTCCACATAATTTTAGTGGTAAAACAGTGGGATTTCCGCAAAGGTGACATTCATATACATGCATTTGAATGGATTAGGGGACATTTGATTAACATCAACCCACATGAAAGTCTTCTAAATCAATTTGGATACTGGATACTGGTTGATGGAAGTATTTCCAACTATCGTTTTTATCATGTTAATGTCATTATAATACGCGTCAATTCGAGCTTCTTTATTAACTATAAGACACATAAAAAATTACTGGGCCACGGGCGGTTCCTTGAGGAACACCGGAGAGTTCTTCACATTTTGACAAAGTATTTGAATACCTAACACATTGTAAACGGTTGGATAAAAAAAAACAACCCATCCATAGAATTAATACAGGAGCCTCACAGGCCTATATTATAACTTAGGAATTTCAATATTGCAAAAGCTACCGTATTACTTAGGCCCGTAATAATTAATCGTGAGAGGCCCATCTGTTTATTGGCATGTTTAATGACATTTTTAACAAGCTTTATATATTTATTTCGATAATAAGAAAAATACTTACTGTATATACTTTTATTAAATGTTAATAAAATGAATTAAAAAACCCTGTTATTACAAAGATAATAGCTTAAATATTGTTTACATCTATATATTTTTACTAATAATATTTTTACACATACATACCAACTGAAATACATAGGCCTATTTATCCATCATCGGTTATGATTAAATTTGTTTCAGGCATGCATAATAAGTCTACTAAGTCGTCTTTTTCAAAAAGTTATTTTATACAACAACATTAACTATAATTAATTATACCAAAGCACATTTCCCTATCAATTAATTTTCACATGACCATAGCCAATGTACGTGATAACCAGGTGTTTGTACTTCACGGATTCCAGACTTCGTAATGAAATAGAAATGACTGACATTATATTTTTGATATTGATGATTGATATTATATTTTTATACATAGGTTCTGACAGAGTCTTTCATTATATGTCAGTGTATTTATGAAATGATGCCTCAATTGGTTATATTTTTTTAAAGCATGCTTATAGTCATAAATTCATAGTACAGTACGGTATATCAATTAAATATTTAAATTTGTAACAAGCACATATAATTATACGTCAAAGTGAATATTTAGTAACTCTCCTTTCATTTAATGTATTTGAACTAAGTGAAATCCACAGAAATGCATTGGCGGTGGTACAGGCTTAGGCCCATACTCATAAGTTTTAGTGGGTGGGCCAATTTTATTGTATGCCCCACCAATAATTTGCAAAAAGTTTCTGAATATTGATTTCAACGATACAACAGGTCGACTTTGGGTATGGATCACATGTTGGCTTTTGGTTACCTCATTGTGGTTGTCCATTTTGATTGGACTGGTAAGATTACATTATAAAAAGGCACGCAAAATGTAAAAAAATGCTTATTTTTCGAGGGCCTTAGAGACCCTGGACCCCAACCGAGGCCCTCGCTCCGCTCGCAACTGCTTACCGGGCCCACACAACTTTCAAACCGTGCAGACAAGGGACACATACAAACGACAGTGAGACACTATGAAAGCGTCCATACTACTCCCTGAAGTGTTTTACTTGTTTCCCGATAGAAAGGGTGACCTTCGCCGTGGGTAATTTTCAATGCTGCAAGTGCCTGTACAAACACAAAATAGAATTGAATTAAATTTTCGATATTTTTAACTACTAATAAGTACTGTAATATAAAAGAAACAAATACTTAATTTTATGTTACTGTTCATGCATGACCTGCCATACATATATAATTTCACTGGAAACATGAACGTGCTCACAGTTACATTGATGCCATACACTTTCGTATCGATCATGTGGTTTTCTGAGTGTATATAGCTATTTTTTTTTAAATGTAAAGTCCCCTGAATTAATATAATATTAAATTTAGCTTCCTCAATTTGCTATAACATACACATGATTGTAACTTAAGCACATATATTATTGAATTTAAAAATATGCACCGTGATTTTTTTCATACTCGTTAATAATAAAAATAATAAAAACACTTGTGACTGAAATCATTTTCGCTGTAAAATTATGGATAAACATTTTTTAAATAGAATAATTTCTATGTTAAAGTTCACACTTTTAATGTTAATTCAAAATGAGCAAGGTAATTTGACATATTTTGTATTTTTGCGCTAATACACCTTTAAGTTTAAACCTTACAATCTTGGTTTTTAACAAACCTGAATGAGGCGTTTGCGAGCTTCCTCAAACCTCAAAACTTGCATATAGACAACGGCCAGTCTTTCACAATATATTCCAATTAAAGGTTGATAAGGAGGATATAAACTTCTGAAAAAATATCAAAGTAATAATTAAAGATGGACATCAGTATAATATGAAGACTTTTTAAGAAGTTACTAGAATAAAAATACTGTAATAATAATAACAACAATATTAATAATAATGTCGATGATGATGATTATAATTATAACAGTGTAAGTAATGGTGAGGATAATGACGATAATAATAATGATGATGGTGTTACTATTGATGATTATTGATTATGGTGATGTTGATGACTTTTATTATAGATCATTGTAAGCCTACTTGAATAATCCCAGAGGAAACCGACTATGGCGAGGTGTTGTGGCAGTGGAAAAAAGGAGCATGTCTATAGTATTTAGTTTGCTATGGAAGCAATAAAGATCGGAAACGTTGGGGCAGTCATAGAAGGAATGTGGGAAACAATGTGATTGCTTGTTGAGAATAGTAACAAGCAATAAATAGCCCAAACTTACTCGTAAGTCAATATAACTTCTTCAAGCATAGGAATACCATCTTTGAAGTTGTTCATATTAATTAAAATATGGCCCACTCTGTCGAAGGTTTTAGCACGGAGATAATGCAGTCGATGTAGAAAGCATTTTTGTCTTCTGCTCAGGTCTAAAGCATATGCAAATTGTCTATCACGTTCAAAAATTAAGGAGATAAGCTACAATTAGTATATACTGTAGTCAGAGGGAAGGGAATCAGAGAGGAAAGACCTGGTCCCCTTCCCGTCGTCTGACGACACGAAGGGGCCGTCAGAACAAAAATATTAATTTACCTTTCTAAATAACGTTATTTTGATTGGTAATTTTGGATCTTACTAAACTAAACCATAAAAATTCTCACAATTATGAATCCTATCAAGAACTTTTTCTGAGGCCCTTGTTATGGGCCCCATATCCAACTTGTTAGAGCCCCATTGGAAAAGTTCTGGAGCCACCATTTTCAGTAAAAGATAGTAGCTAATCATCAACTAATTAAAGATTAAACAATTTCACCATTTATAGGCGCTATATTTGGTGGCGCTACGGGCTCTACAAAGTAGTTTCCTAGGCTATCAATAATTGTGAGATAGATGTTATTATTTATAACATTCTATACTTTATTCATTATACCTCTGGCTCGCTTAAATCAACCCAAAGAGAACGCATTGAACTCACCGACAATTAACTCAGCAAGAGCAAATATGCCTACATCATTGTTCCTGTATTCCTCGCAAGATTTATTTTTAGTTGGTAGAACTAAACCAAGGTAGGTGTGGAGACGGGGTAAAAAAAAGCATTAGGAGTTAAAGATGCACAGTCAGTCATGAACTAAGAAAATTAGAAAAATCAAATACCATATTTGAATTGTATAATTTGTATGTGAATTTTAATATAATCCCTGGTCAATTTCCTTTTTTGTATACTTTTGATCAGACCCTTAAATTGGCAGTTACCGTACTCGCGCGAATATAAGCGCCCGGGAGCTTAAAATATTTTTTGCACTTTTTGAGGGGCGCTTATTCAAACGGGGCGCTTATTTAAAAAGCTTATTTAAAAGCTTATGAAAGCAGAGTGGAAATTGAGGGGCGTTTATGGAAATAGATGAAAATCGAGGGGTTCTTATGGGAACTTATTGAATTCAAGAGGCACTTTTTGAGTGAAAAAAGATTATATAAGGACATTACGAATGGTGGTGCGGGGAAAAGATAATCGTCCAGAGAACGTGGCTCATAAGAATGCTCTGAATATTTACATAACAGCAGAATAGCAGATGCATGGTGGTGGGTAGTAGTTAGCTTGTTAGCCATCGGCCGATTGCGATTTGCAGGACCATTGAAGGTTTTCTTGAAAACTCAAGATGAGAATGTGCTAAAGGTGCAAATTGTCGAAAAAGAAAAAGAGGAGTAGGACTAAGCCAAGACAACTTTATAAGAAGAGGAAAGTTGGAAATATACTGTCTGTCCAGGGATCGAAGCTCTCATTTGTTCAAGAGAATATCCTCATTTTGATATTGACCTAAGAAGAATGTGATTCCACTCTGCAGCTCAAATTATGCCAACAACCATAGTCCCAGGATTGATTGGATTATAGACTTGCTAAAAAGAAAGACTTATGACTTAGACTTATTCAAACGGGGCGCTTATTCAAACGGGGCGCTTATACGCACTAGTACGGTACGTGTGCAACTACTCATTTTTTTTCTCTATGTATACACACATATTTACTCTAATAAGAAAGAATGAGAACTTAAAAACAATAAAGACATCAAACGTACAAAAAAACATATTGAATGGTGTGATGATAAAATATATTTTCAAAGGATATTGATTGGCTGCAATTTTATTGTTTCTTCTACAAAAATAATGCTCTCAGTCTCAATAGCCAATATAGCAGACACATGTTTTTGAGACGGCAACTGATCACAAACACTGCATTTCATAAATGTCTTATCTGAGGGGAAATAGATATAGTGTGTTAATACTAGCATGAATTATAAGATATGAATTATTCAATATATCAGCATAATCGTTAACGTTAATTATCTATGAATTAGGCGTACGTTGTAAAACATTGTTTAATAGTACAGTAGCCCTATCATAATTGTTAGTCTGAATAGCAGTATGCCTGTATTACTGTGGTTCATAAATTGAGTAATAATACAGCCTCATCAGTAAAACCAATATGCAGCATTGGTAGCAGTGTTACGTGGTAAAGTATTACAGTACTTACATTTTTTCCTAAGTATCTGACCTTTACATTTCTCACAGACGATGCTTTGCATTTTTGCATCAACTTCCTTATTCTCACAACGAGGGCATGTGCAATTAAAACCATATTTCTCTTGTAGCATTTTTCGTCGGATATTACTAGGTTGCAACGGACTTAGGTATGATATGGTAATCTGTTAAACAAAATCATATAGACTTATGTATAGCTTGAAAACTAATACCTGTATTTTTAAAGAAATATTGGAGATCGTCTACACATCAAGGACTTAATCTTCCAAAATAGGTTACAAATAGAGGCAAGGAAAGGGGTTGCTCAGAACACTAGGGTATGTGAAAGATACAACGTGAACTAAATATGCCATGTTTCTTTGTAATCGCATAAACTAAATAACCCCAGCAATTTGAATAATTTAAAATATATATTCTTGTCGCAGTAGGTGGCATAAGGCGGAAGTTGATGAAATAATTATTATTAAAAAGCCCCTAAAATCTGATGTCTAAACTTTAATGAATAGGCTTCATAATAATAAATTATAATGATCCTACACAATTAAATTGTATTTGGTCTAACGTTGGCGAAATTATTATGCATATATATAGGCCTACGGATATTCGACCTACCTCCTGTCCTTTGATGATCGGTCTTGTTGCTCGTAAGCTGAGTGTGGTGCCATCGTATACCGTAATTGAATTGAAATCACAACTATTGTTGATTAAAGATGCTCTGAACAAATAAAGTAGAGAAGCATTAGTGGCCCTTATTATATGTTGTAGCAAATACTTTGTTACAAGCACCTGTATGAATTACACCAAAAAGTTTGGAAATGAAATGTTAACACTGAACAGTTTACATAGGTATGAATCCACATCTAACATGGTATGAATCAACATCTCTACTCTTACTCACCCGTCTTCAATCATCGCTGTTTGTATAATAGAGTATAACTAACAACTGAAAAATCTTTTTTACATCTTAAAGTAGGCCTATATAGTAACTTAAAGCCATATTCAACAATTATAAACAAGTTATTCGTATATACGCACTTGAGATAGATTCCCGGTCCAAGAGCATCTGTGTTTGGGCCAGCGATAAACAATGCGTTGCAGTATACTCGACTGGCAAGCTGATTGAATTCTTGTTTTATTATTTTCTTTCCAAGAAATAATTCCAACTGCCTACGTTCAAATTCGCAACGTACTTTCTGTTGTTCATCCCAAAGTTCATAAACTTAAAACGCAATAATAAAGTATGAGTGCTATGATTTTGTGTATATATGTATTAATTATTTTTTTTTAAATTTTTTCAGGGTTACATACTTAAAGCATTTTTCTTGCTTATTTTGTAACCTTTTCCTTTATCTGCTACCACTGTATTTCTTTTGCTGATAATTGTATTGTTTATATTGCTATTGATATTGGAATAAAGTTACTTGAATTGAATTGAAGTATAATAAAATACGAGCGGTTTTTCATTAAAGAAATATACACTTCGAACACTAAACTAAAGCATTTTTTGTGATTTTCAATTGTGGCTTTTCTCCCTGATAGGAGGGGGGGGGGAAGCTTTTCCCGACGGGATCCTGGGCCCCTGCTCCCCACTGGCGCCACCCCTGTGGCATTAAAATTTATTTGGCTTCACATAAAAAAAACCAATTCAATATACAAAATGCTGTAGATACAGTTAAAACATCATCAAAAAGGGACAGATGCCATGATAGCCAATGGAAGTCTTTAAAAGAGAAACTTTCCAATTTCCAATGGGGTCCAGGTACTGTATTAGGCCTACTCCATCATAAATGTATTGTATTTGCATTGCAAATTATTAATACAATTTAGATAAATATAGATCAACTGAAATAAAAATATGTCCTCATTGTTGACTACTAAGGTGAATTTCACATTTTTTGCATATCGCGGTAATAAACAGACTTATAAGGCATATCATATAAAAGTGGCTATAGAAGCTCGTCTAGATCACGTCTAGATAACCACTAAATAGAAAAAAAAATAATAAACAAGCTTAATTGCTCATTTAAAAGGTGGCAAAAAGTTTAACTTCAAAAGAAACGGGTCGAAAAACATCAGTTTTAATTGAGTGACGGCGTTTTACTAAAACTGTCCATAATGGCCTGGTAGTATATTTTAAAGGGTCTGAGTATAGATTTAAATAAATTAGTCATAAGCATATACGATATAAATCTTATGCAACTACAATTATTCTGAAAATAATAAATTATATCATTATGACCGATAATGGGACTTAAAATATTATTTTTTATTATTTCAAAGGTTTATTTTCTCTATCAACTTTAGGCCTATTGCTGTTATAAGATGTAAGTGTATTTGTTGATCCAGGTTGGTGATCATACAGTATCTGGTTTTGTCTAAAATTATGTGGATATTTAGTCTTTCTAAACGTTTGGATATCTTTCAGAAAAAAATGATAGATTGATCGAAATATACAAGCCGACAGACAAAACGGCGCGGCAGACATGATCGAATATTAAGTAGCTATACTTCACTTACTCTCTATTAGATGGTTAATACTTTGCGGAAATCCATCAGTCTTTTCTGGCTGTCTACCTTCTTTCTAATATGTAAATAAAACAGAAATTAGTCAAGATTGCAGAGAATAATAATAATAATAATAATAATAATAATAATAATAATAATAATGATAATATGATGATGATAATGATGATGATGATAATAATATTAATAATAATAATAATAATAATAATAATAATAATAATAATAATAATAATAATAATAATAATTATAATAATAATAATAACAATAACAGCACTCCACAGAGAGCATATCTCCGCCGACCGCAAATCACTTTCTATAAAATAAATCTGCCAAAATATGTGACTAATTTACTTCAAGCACCACCACTAACACCCCACTGCACTTCGCTCCATCAAATATACGCACTGTACCTCGCCCAAACACTTGTTCGTTCACTTTTAGTGTGTTTTTGGGGGCTCTTTTTAAGAGTGTCTATTTTCAGATTTTCTAATTCGAATTTCATCAAAATTCATTGTCGACCACATTTCACTACACATGTTACGTTTTGAACAAACGGCGGCGGAACGTTTTTGAAAGTGGGTGGGGGCCATTTCAGAAGGTCCAGTATGCGAGCGAAGCGAGCATCTAGGCTGGGGGCCAGGGGGCGCCAAGGGCGCCCGGTGGGGTTTAGGGGACGAAGCCCCCTAGAAGCTACGGATATTTTACGAAGTTTGGTACTAAATTTTATAAGTTATTTTTTAGGCATCAAGCTACTGTAATATGACTTCATATTGTTGTAATTTCCAGTGGCGGATCCAGGAATTCGAAATACAAGGGACCAGGGAGGGTACTTTAACAGATAAAAGATCTATACTACCTCAGTCCCCACCATGGTTGGGGCTGAATTAAGACTATTTGTGATTATGGCACATCTAGATGTCCGGAAATTGCACTTCCAGACAATAATTTGAATATAATTAGGCCTATCTTTATATCTCCATTAAAAAAAAAATAACAATTGAGCCCCCCGCTTCCCTCCGCCCTTGAATGCGCCACAGATTTCCGCACGTGACAAAGTCGAAATCAAGATTGCTTCCACGATCTCAATGAATTATTTTTTTAAAACAATTTAGAGGGTGGGGCGGGCCGGCTGGGTCCCCTTGAATTCGCCACTTGGTTTTTTTTAGTAGATTGAGGATCTATACCAAATCAGCCCTAAAGTGGTTGGGGCTGAGGTAGGAAAATTTGTGATTATGGCACCTCCAGATTGCAGGAAATTACACTCTCAGACTTCAAGTTAAAATTTGAATATACTGTTCCTTATATCTCATCAAAAAAAAAACAAAAACAAAAAAAAAACAAACAAATTGAATGATTTAGTCCCCCGCTCCAGCCCTCCCCGCCCTTGAATTCCCCACAGATTTCCGCACAAAGTCGGAGTCGAGATTGCTTCCACGATCTCAATGAATTATTTATCATGAGGGTTATCCTTGATATGGGATCCCAGACGAAAACTTCACTTTTCCCCCGATGGATAAAAATTACACTTCTATGTAGCCCAGAAATGATACTCCAACTGTGGCGGGTCCAGGAAGTCGAAATAGAGGGGACCAGGGAGGGAGAGTTTTGCGTAAACAGAATGTCCACCCACCTCATCCCCACAACTGCTGGGGCTGAGGTAAGAAAAATTATGATTATGGCACCTCCAGATGGCCGGAAATGGCACTCTCAGATTAAAAGTTGAATACAATTTTGTCTGTTTTCTCCATTTAAAAAAAAAACAATTTTGAAAAAATTAGGAGGTTGGGGCCGTGCTGACTGGGTTCCCCCTTGAATCTGCCACTGTTCAATATCACACTTGACATAGCCTATCATTTTGTATCACAAATGATTAATTCCTAATGTCAAGCAAAAGATTTTTTTATTCGAAAGATTTTTTTTACTCAATAAAGTTTTTACAACCTATAACACATTAACTACAGTTTATTGTAAATTTTGTAGTTAACCTTCAGATAAACCTATTTTTAAAAATGGTCTAATTAATTATCTTATTTTTTTCGTTAAAATAGATGGAGTTTAAATGTGGTTATATTCCGCTAGTTTGAAGGTTTACTGTAAGCTAATCAGTTACACTTACTATGCATCTTCGTGGTTAGCATAAAGAAAACTAGAGCGTCGCTCCATTAAGAGTGCTTACCTCCCCCATATGCCTAAATACAGAATTCACGAAGGCAGGCGATTTTTTCTTCATGCTTGAGGGTGGGGTTCTAGAAAACTTTACAGACGCGCTCAACTCAAAAAGGGAACTTGTAATGCTCGTTAGAAAATGATAACAAAATCTATATTTTTAATGACATTGCAGCAATCGTAAAATGGTTGTCACTGGTACTGGGAACAGTCACAAAAGTGGGGGGGGGGGGACTTACTTTCCAGCCACCACCTTCTTAAAAAAAAAAAAGTATATATATATATTCCATGGTTATTTGAGTACCAGTATAGTCAACGATCTTTGAATAGTACTTTTTCTCAATAAAAGTGAAATGCCAAACAAAATGGCCACGCCAATCCTCTTACTGTACAGTATTTAAAATTAATTAGGGTACAAAATGAGAAAAAATCCATACAACTCAAACTTTTTTTTCCTTACAGACTACAGGAAAGCAGAAAAATAAAATTAACTAAACTGATTCAGGACTCGAACATCAAACATACACTTGTTATTATAATGATGAAGATGTTGATGAAGATTATTGATGGTGATTTTTTATTCAACGTTGACTGGCGGATAGGATAACAATGTAACAGTGTAACACAATGCATAAGTGGAAAAAAATCAAATGAGTAAATGGATCTAATCTGATTTACCTTCTCTATCTCTATTTTACGGAGAAGTCTGGTTAATAATAGAATCGCTTCCGGTCTCAGTGTAAATGCATTTGTCGTCAATTTCAGAAGATTCTTGCATTCGTGTTTGTGTAAGTTCCAAGCAGCTTTCTATAGTGTGGAAGACACTTAGTAGCCTACTTACAATCAAATACATTTATAAAGACAACAATCAATAAATTGATGAGAATGTGTAATAATTGGGATGTTTATATCTCAAATGACGTGTTCATGTAAAAGGGTGCTTTGGAATAACTCTAAAAATTGAGAAGACTTGAAAGTGATTCTGAGAAAAGTATTACCAAACTGAAATATGAGAGTTCAGCATGCATGATTTAGTCTTTTTATTTCATTACAGGTCTCTCTCTAATTAGAGACCCCTCTAATTATAGACCACCTGCAATTAAAAACCCATTTCTGTGATCCCAAACTAACAAATGACCTTTATTTTTATTATTCTAATAAGTGTCTAAAGACAATTATTATTATTATTATTATTATTATTATTATTATTATTATTATTATTATTATTATTATTATTATTGTTATTGTTATTGTTATTGTTATCGTTATCGTTATCGTTATCGTTATCATTATCATTATTATTATTATTATTATTATTATTATTATTATTATTATTATTTTTCTTTAAGGCCCGAATCGTTTGGCTAATTAAAAGATTCAATTCGTATATTGACTTGTCCATACAATACAAATGTATATAAAATAGAAATTTTTTGTTTAAATACATACATTGCCAAGTAAAATTTAAAGGATAGGCCTATTGAAAATATGTAAAACACAATATATATAATATAGTTTAAATATTTAGTGTTTAAAAAGGCATTGAAAACAGTCATGTTTTTGTGATCGTTCCTTTTCTTCTAATATGTTTTCTTATTCAGAACATTCAGCTCTATAGAAATTCACAATATGAATTTAAAGAGATTTGCTAACATGACACAAACCGGAAAACCTTATCATTGAATTGGTGTATTTTTTATCACGTGACTTTGGGTATTCGTACCATTTAATGGCAAAACAATATATAATTTGATTTACATCACTCTATCAAAATTTAGTTCAATCTATGCTTTTTTGTTTTATTGTTTTTTACATGTCTCCACGTAATACTCTACATAATACAATACTTTTATTGGTTTTATTCAGAAGAAAGATAGACCTAATTTATTATGTTAAATTGTTAGGTGTTTTATAAAACGAATAATTATTTTCATTCGTTTATAAATATTGACTGTTCCATTTAACTCATGAAAGTATTCTTCCCGTTGCACTCATAAACATTCGTTATTTGTATAATATTATATAGGCCTAGACCTTAGGCCTAAGGTGTATTTAACGAATGGTTTGATCAAACAGTACCAATAATTTACTCACCATCTTATATTTTCTTTTCACGATTATGAAATAAATCCGCAAATATAAGAATTAAAAAAATAATAAATAGAAAAGAAGAAGCATTAAGTGTACATATGCCTATTTATTAAAACATGAGATTTTGTGCAATTGATCAGATAAAAGATACATATAAAAAGGGTTTTACCTGGCAAATTGTATTACAGTATCTCTGGTGTTTACACTGAGAACATCGACGGAGATCCTCTCTGTAAAAAAAAAAGTTTAATATTTTCACATTGTTGAAGTCCTAATGTACAAAGGTAAGACTATTAGTCTCAAGGTACACGACTATGCGTTATGGTAGGAAGAGACACAAGTTTGAGTCCTGGATCCGCTAACGAATTTATTTTATAAGGTATTCATAGCTGATTTGTGTCAATTTTTTTAGCAGGGCTACGCAAGAACTGATAAATGAATCATAAAATGTAGTGGTCAAAGAGTCAGAGGACAAGGCCTTTATAGTGATGTACAACACAATTCCATAATGTAGTTTGGCACAAATCTACTTTTTTGCAGAGAATGCAGAACGGTCATTGCGGAAATCGAAAACTCTCTGATAGTGATGTTTCACTGGGATCATCTACGCAAACAGTGAAGATTATTAAAAAAAATATAATAAAGATAAATATTCTTCAATGTTATCTCCCAGTAAAGTTTAATTTGTATTATTACACCTCTTGTATCCCCTGTGTCCCACTACGATGTCATCCTTACCCAGTTTGATGATTATGCGTCAATAAGATAAAGATGTATTTTTATATACATTACCTACAAATGAACTTTTACCTTTAGTAGGATTAATCCCATGTGTCTCTAGCATATGGCCATTTATGCCGACAAGTTTGATGTTCAGCATAAAAGGATGAATAATGCATTGCAAAAAATAATCCATTTTGATCTTGTATTATGGAATAGGTCCTACCAATAGTACGCATCATTTCCAACAAAATTATTTGTATCCATGAATTTTATAACAGCAAAACATGATGTCCAATTTTCCGTTATGATGATGATGGTGGAATGATGATGTTAATGATTCTGGGTATGATGATAAGGATGTTGATGCAGATGTTGATGATGACGATTATTATGATGGTGTACAGATATGATGATGTTGATTGTGTTCATGATGATAATTATGATGTTTATAATGATGAATAATGTTGATATGATAATGATGATGCTGATAATGATTATGATGATGATAATGAGGATGATGATGAATGATGTTCATAGGGTGATGACGATGATGATGGTAGCATTGGGTGCTCCCATTATACAATACATCTGTGTAGGCCCTACCTTGTTTTTATTATAACGTCAGCTTAATAAAAATGATATATATCGCATACGATCTTGTCGTAGGCCTATATTCATTGGTGTGAACGTGTGACACAAAGTGCAATATGATTAAATATACAGATGACACTGTAATTAGTTTCTTTGAGATAGTGCCCAAGAAAATGTCATGGAGATAAACAGATTTATTGAATGGTATGACTATAAAATATGAGAAGAAATGAATTTTGACATTCGTAAATCTTCTTTATTTCATGACTCTGTGAAGGTAAATAAGAAAATTTTTGATTTTTATAGAATGAAACGCTATATTGTTAGCTCTCATCTAATAGAAGGCCTATGTTTTATCCCTACCGTTGTCCAGTCAATCCTTTCTTATTGTATTATTATTATTATTATTATTTTGGTTTTCTCATATCACCGTAGACAGTAGAAATAGAGGAAATTTCGTAGATAGCGGTTCCATCCTCCTTAGCCTTCATGGAAGGGGCTGAGTAAGATAAATGATAATTTGATGCCTCTCTCTAGATGACCGGAAATGACACTCTCAGATTTAAATCTGAACATAATTTTCTTCTATTTTCATAATTTTGAAAGTCCCCTTGAATGCGCCACTGGCTATTATATATGCTCTGCCTACCAAGAAGAATTTTATAAAGCCTACAGGAGACCTGGCTATAGAAACACCTACTATAATTAATCTAATATTACACAAAGAGAACTTACTTGTTTGAGAAACAGTAATCACATCTGTTTCCTTCATATGAGCGAGACAAGCAGAATGCATAAGGCTTTTCAACCAATACCGTGTCCCCAGGTTTAAAATCCTTGGTGGCAACCAAACCTCTCCCATTCCCCTTGATAGATTCCACTTTGATATGACATGTATCCATTGGAAATACAGCTACATTAGTGAGACATAGGCCGGGCACTTACACATTAATAATCCTATTGGCTCTGACCTTTTCTAATGACGCTTTCGGGGAAAAACCAGGATGACGATGCTTTCTTGCTATCGAACGTTCAGGGATTGAAATGTCTTGTTACGGTAATATTATGCTATGTGCTATGGTATGGAAGATAGTGTATACATGTAACATAACATAAACAACCTAATACAGTATAACATAATATAATAAAATATAATTTATAATATAATTTACTATAATATAATAATTATAATATAATATAAAATAATATAATATAATATGATAAAATACAGTTCTTCCCTGGATTTTAGTGGTCTTTAGCAGCTTTAGACTCTAATTAGAATCCCTCAAATTAAAGACTGGCACATAAAGTGGTCTTTAAATATCACTATTTAGAGGGAAGTTAAGAAATGATACAGTAGGCCTAAATGTAAGATCGTTTTATTATAAGTGCTTTAGAATTGATTTGCAGTTACTGTATGCTGATATTGATTGTTCAATTACTATTTCTGGATAGTCGCTCTTAAGTCCTGCGCTCGTTCTACCTCACTCTCCATTACAATATTACTAAAAACATTCTCTTACTAAAACTGTCAGTGACCTAATACAACAGAGCACTGTACAAAACATCACCTCATGTATATTCAACCAGCATCATTTATTATTTTTGAAAACTGTACTAAAGTCACTAGGCCTATATTGTAATCAGTGGAGGCTCTAGAATAAAATTTACGGGGGAGGGGCTGAGATGCCGACTGGGGAGGGGGATAAGTATTTATGGGTGTAACTATAGCGCGGAGCCGGGGATGGGGATGGGAGGTGGTGTTCCCTCCTCCTAAAACGAGATTTTTTTTAACACAATCGGTAATCGTATTCAATATGGCGCATGTAGGCCTGTACACATCTTCACTAAAAGTCACTAGGCGTATTTATATTTTAAAAGGAGTCTTTATTTGAAGGGGAACATTTTCTCTTCTGTTGAATCTCGTTTTAAGTACTACACCCTCTAAAACCTTAGAAAAATTATCCAAACTGACATCCATCCTCTTCATCTGTATCTTATAATGTATATTATTATAATGTATATTATTATTATTACTATTATTATTAATGTTATTATTATTATTATTATTATTATTATTATCATTATAATATTATTATTATTATTATTATTATTATTATTATTATTATTATGTGGGTGTTATTGAGTTAACTATTAACCTTTTGGAATATATTAATATTCGGTCAGCAAAACTTGAAAAAAAAAGCCTAAATGTAGTATTTTCATTTCATATCATTTATTTACTCCAAGGAGCAATAAAACTTACAAACACAAAATAAAAGGGAGAGGATTGCCAAAATGAACTATCACTGCCCTGCGATTGCAGATATAGAGTTTGTAATTTTATCTTGTGTGTAAAAGGATCGTTTTTAATACGCCTTACCTGAGTATACGGTATTTAGGTTAAACACTTTTTACCACATTGTATTGGTACACAGAGCTAGATGTTAGGCCTACCATAATAAATAGGCCTATGATATTATGTACTGTTATAACCTGTTGTAACCTTCTTTGAAGTTGATAAAATGGTTGTTTTTTATTCAATGTTTGACTAGGTATATTACTTTTTTGCATATATTAAGCAGGCCTATGTATATCCGAGGACGTAGTATACCAATTTTGTCGTTTTTTTTATAGTTATATATTTCAAGAAAACAATTTAAGCTACAAGATACTAATTAGATCGACCATAAACCCAAAAGAGCGGAAAAAGTAAATTTGTTAAAGCTAAAATTGCAATAGGCCCTATATAAAATCTTCAACAATACACCTACAAGAGTTCAGTGTTTCTTTATAAGGACAATAAATGCAATATATTCTATTCAACAGTGTTGAGACATAAACTCATTCGTCGAGTAACAAACGGTAGCAATTGTATTTTGTGTGTAATATACTCATAAAAGCATATCATAACATAAGTTTACGCATACATAGGCCTATAGGCCCACCAAAACATTGGAAGAAAGGACTGATCAACTATTAGCGTTGGTATTCTATTACAGCAACATAGTCATGTCTCCGAAAAGTCATATTAAAGTAGTTAAAAAATTCTCTCGACCGTCAATCTCTAATCTTTCTATTTTATAAGTGCCACATTCTTCCAGTTATGGAATACGTCTGCTGCATTTATGGTCTACTCCCCAAATGTGAAATGTCATTTTTCAAACGTATCGAATACATTTTTGTGCAATCTGCTTTCCGAAAACGCTACACATTCCACCTATCCTTCAATATTAAAAGAATTTAACATCCCTTTTTGAAAACAGAATTAAGTACCATCTTCTCTGCAACCTTGGGAAAATTGTGAAAATGGAATTTACCCTCTTAACACCTCACTTCCATCCCGCCGCCATTGCTCTACATCTTTTCGCCACTCTAGAGACTCTACATTCCTACCTATCGCATGTCGACGAACTTCTTGTTTTGCTTCATCTTTTCTTCCTACTCCTTGAAACTTGAATATTTCATTTCTATTGACCCATCTCTGATTAACCCGTCCACTGTCAAACTGCTCCTCGACCTGTACATTTTTTTGTTGTTGTTCTTCCAAATTGTATACATATCAATGCGTTCGTAAATGTGAACTTCGTAAATTGTTTGTGATCATGTGCATGTTTTAGCGGATTAGCCCATGATGGCTTTCGAAGCAATAAAAAGAATTGAATTGAATTTAAAAAAGACGGATGAAACATCCAGTTTTTTCCATCCTATCTATGGTTCTTAAATGTATGTGCTGACAATCGTGATGTATGAAATAGAGACGTTTTCTGATGTTGAATAGGTTTTCGTTCTTCGAAATTTCTACCAATGAGCTCCACAAAACCACTAAGCCATTTCTCTTAGTAAATTAACACAGCAATTATGGTCATCACTCGCTTTCTTGTACAGGAAGTGACTTTCTCCATAGGTAATCTTGAGAATTTCAAGCGTCTGTCCAAAAAAAAAAATGGAAAATTGAAAACAAATTGAAAACTAAAAAGCATAATAAAATTACAAGATGTTACTTAAAAATGTTTTGCCTACATCGTACTAATAGTTTTGACCGTTGGTTTAATGTTTTTTTAGCTTCTCGCTAATGGTAGTTATAAAAATAAAAATAATAATACTTTTTTTATTTCGTTCAATTTCAAATATTTGAAATTGGGAAATGTTGCTAAGCCCCTTACCAGCGGCATCCGCAGTGCAGCGCCTGCACAAATTACAACGGATACATCAATTATCCCGCCTAAATCTAATTCGAGTATTATTCAAGAAGCAGAGTGATCTGACCTTCATTATACTCCCACGCTGGCCGGGTTTGAACCAGGGTCATCAGCAAAGAAACAAGAAATCTACCTCTCGGCCAAAGAAAATATAGACCCCATATTGCTGTTTTCAACAAACCTGAGCAAAGGAACTGCAAGCTTCAACTATCCTTCCAGTATACAAGTACATTGTTGCCAGTCTTCCACAATATATACCAACCAACGGGTCTTTAGCAGGATAAAGGATTCTGAGACACAAGCAAAATAGTTTTAAAACTCTGGCTCTCATTACTGAACGAACTTTAGTAGACGTTTTTCATTATATTACATCACAGTTGAAGTTCTTAAAAATTAATAAAATCTTTGAATTGTATATTGAAAATAGAATGATTAATTATTTCCCCAGACGTACTCAATTAATTTTTGATTATTTAAGGATGCTTAATACTTAACTTTCAGTAAGTCAGTGAAAAAAATATTTGGTTTGATTTGTGTTTTATTATGTTAATACTATATTATTTGATAATTTTAAGGTATTCGCTTTTTAGACGGTATATATTTAATGGTATAGTATCGAGCTAAAAACATAAACCACATCTCAATATGCCTACTTTGTATGTTACATTATGTCATTGGCTTTCTATACAAATTTGAAAAATATAATTTTTCCCCTCGCCATTTAACAGGCTCATTATGTTAGGCTCCAGAGGGAAAAATAATTAATATATTGAATATTTCCCCCAATATTTAAAAAATACATCAAAAATATGTATCTAATCTCTTTTCAGTTATATCTTTAAACACTCCGATGTGTCCCAGAAAAATTATTTGTTACAAATTACCATTTACAGTTTGTATATTTTTGTACAAGCCTAAGAGTCGTAGTGAAATGTCTGTAATCTGCCAAAAATAGATTTTTTCCCCCAATAACTTAATTGATTAATTATTTAAATGTTTGTGGGGGGGGGGGTTCCAAATTTTATATTATGATGAAGATGAAGAAAATTAGGATGATAACAATGATAATAATGATGAGGAGGATGATGATGAACATAATTTTGAAGAAGAATAATAATAACAAAAAGAAAATTAAAAAGACGATAATGATGATGACGATGATTAAGATGATGATGATGCAGATGTCGATGATGCTATAAAGATAGCGATAGTTATAAAGATTAACGTTAATAGCATGTGTAAGAGGGTATCAAATTAAAAATTAGTCGTAACTTACTCGAAAGTTGATTTAACTTCCTCAAGAAAAGGCAAAATCCTATGGTATCTCTTTAGACTGCAACCAATATAGTACACTTCGTTAGACATTCTAACACGGAGGTAATGTAATGGATGTAAAACGTCGTGTTGCCTTTTGACTATTTTCAAAGCTTTTTTAAAATTAGCTTCATCGCGTACCAAAATGAAGGAGAATTAATTATAATCAACTTCTAGTCTACTTTACTTGCAATAACATTACATTAACTAAGCAGTGTTCATGACTATGACGTAAACCACATTATATTATACATGTTCAGTGTAGAAACAGTGGAATAGGTGGAACGCTAAACATTTCATGGCAGTGGCTCACAATGCTCTAAGAAAATTAAGGTTTATTGGAAAGATTAACACTAACACATATTACTGGCAAAAAAGTGTCGATGGTTGCAAATATAATAAATCAATCAATCATTATATGGTGTGAAAAAGACCGTTATTAAGAATATTTTGACTTTTTCTAAAGATTTCTCTAATTTTCTTCAATAATAACATGACAAAAATGAAGTTATTTTTGTGGATATGGCACTATAAAAAATATAGGCCAAAATTATTATTTAAAGGCCACTGGGAAGACCACCACCAACCTGATAACAGAAGAAAGAAGCAGTATTTATACAAAATAGCATCAGAAACAACGAAGGCCACAGAAATAGACGAATTGGAAGGCAAATTAATGAAGAATAGGCCTATATTTTCAAAAGGATATTTGTATCTAGCCTAGCTTTTCGAACTTTTAGAAATGATTCGCTCTCAGCCTCAATAGCCAACACGGCAGACACATGCTTCTGAGACGGCAGTTGAAGACAGGTTCTACATTCAACAAATAACTTATCTGAAAAAAACAAAACGTTTGAATGTCCTTCATATTGCTAGCTATTAAATATTGATTTTAGTAAAATTACCAAATGGTGTTCTGTATTAACTTTTGAAATCAATATTGCTCATCATCGAATAATACAAGTGAACATACAAACATAACAACCATGCAACCGGTACATAAGAAAACAGGCAATTCCATTTTAGCTAATAAAAATAAATAAAACGAACAAAACTACTTACTGAAAATATTTGTAGGAATGTATGACAGAATCATATGTTATCGTTCTACCAGTATTAGATTATTGTAAAGTTAATTTTTCCTTATTGTTATTATGGTCGTGATTGAATTTGCGCAGTAGTAGTAGTAGCAATTGTCTGCTTGTATTTGTTACGTGTTTCTTGCAACAAAAAGTAGCAGTAGCAGTAGTATTAGTAGCAGTAAGTAGTAGTATTAATATATAGTAGTAGTAGTACTTACCACCTTTTCTGAGCACCTGACTACTACATTTTTCACAGAGGATACTTTGTACTTGTGCATCAAGTTCTTTATTCTCACATCTAGCACATTTGCAGTTAAAGAAATATTCCTGTCGAAGTATTTTTTGTCGAATAAAAGTTGGTTGAAGAACATCTACGTATGGTACAGTGAACTGAGAAAATAAGCCATCGACTTTAAATATAAGCGCTTGTATGGTTACTAAAACAAATTTGTTTTATGCATATACAATTCAATCAATATATATATATAC